CCCCCTCCCCTCCCTTCTCCTATCCTTTTTCCTCTCACCGTCGCGTGTGCTTTTTCATTGTTAGCTCGAGCTCCGCGAGCTCCCTATTTACGCTCCTTGACAGCCGATGAGTGAAACGTCTCGAAGCGGAAACTCGTGTACGCGATGGACGAATGGCATTTTATTTAGACGCGTTTGACGCGTTTATTTCATACAGTGTTTCGTCGCGAGTGATAATCTTTTTTTTTCGATACATTGCGTTTAGATCATTAAGGGCGCTGCTGTGCTTTTTTTTAAGGTTACTTTGAAAAAATTGTGCGTGTAACTTTGCTTAATATTATTATTAGTTTACTGCAAAATTTGGCGAACAAAGAATTTTATATTGAAATATACACACATATTTTGAATATAATAAAATTAGGAATATATGTCGAGATAATAATTGTAAAGTAAATAAAAACATAAATTAACATGCGAGCTTTAATTTGCTAAATAATTAACCGACATTTATTATAATGTAATTTATCTGTCATGTTTCAGGGGTACCAGACAATGATCGACATGACGGCGTCTAGATTTAAGCACAGCTGGTAGTACTGTGTTAAAACTGGCTCACTACCAGCATAGCGGGGCACGCATCCCAATATCATACCTTTTACATTTCCTACCTTAGACCTGCATACGCACTGACGCACACGTGTAGCGTGTGCGTATGTGCTTTGTCAGCTGTCGCATACACACCATGAGATTCCTGGGACTTACCCAGTCATTTCCCAAATCGCTCACAGTGACGCCTCCGCTGCCGCTCGTTTATCGATCATCCTTTTCATCCATGTCCATTGCCACATGGTTCCTAGTTATACTGGCGACTGCAGCGATAGATACTCCCGCTAGCACTGCTCCACCGATACAGGAAAATAGATCACCGCATATACTGGCGCAGTTTCCAGCGGAGAATGGACAGCGATACGGACATTTTCCCTTGGAGGCTAATGCGACCAGAGAGGGAGCTTTGAGATTTAATCATCTCGCCATAGATCCTTCTATGGGAAGGCTCTATGTGGGCGCAATCAACAGGCTCTTTCAACTTGATTCAAATCTCAAATTGGAAGAGCATGTCTCAACAGGTGAGTTCTCTTTCTTCACATTTTGGAATACAACATTGTAATATGCAAGTGAAATAATTATTGATCTTTTATCTTATTTCACAGGACCAAGAATGGATAATCCACAGTGTCATGCAACAGGTTGCATGGCAAGGGATATAACTACTTCTTTAATGGATAATGTGAACAAGCTACTAATCGCCGATCTCGAGTCGCAGATGTTAATCGCCTGCGGCTCTCTTCTCCAAGGTGCTTGCGAAAAATACAAAATGTCCAACATATCCGTTAAGCCGGAGTTTATCCCTCTCAGCGTGGCCGCCAACGACGAAAACTCGTCCACATACGCTTTTATCGGGCCCGAGAAATACAATCCATGGGGACAAACGAACATACTCTACGTGGGAACGACATTTACCAATAAAGGGGATTATCGTCACGACGTGCCCGCTATCTCCAGTAGGAATCTCGACAAGCTGGATTTCGCCGAGTACACGTTCAACAAACAATCGATTGTGTACATCGACGTCAAGTATCGGGATCATTTTCTCGTGAAATACGTGTACGGTTTCAACGCGAGCGATTACGCGTATTTTGTTCTGGTGCAGAAGCAATCGTATCTGCCCGAACAGGAGGAACTGGGATATATCTCCAGGCTAGCACGAAGTTGCATAAGCGATCCGAATTACGACAGTTACACGGAAGTAACTCTGCAGTGTACGGTCGACTTGGGGGATGGAAAGCAGCATTATTACAACTTGATACAGGACGCGAAGGTCGCCGCAGCGGGCAGCGACCTGGCCATGCAACTCGGCATCTCCGTGGGCGATCCGGTATTCGTTACCGTGTTTTCGCCCAGTAGAGGCATCACGAACGAGGCTCTATCACGTTCGGCAGTTTGTATATACAGTCTGCAAGACATCGAAACCAAGTTCAACGAAAATATTCACATGTGTTTCAACGGTAGCATCAAGTATCGAAATATGGGTTACGTCAGCGGTCCTATACAAGACGGAAAGTGTCCTACTGCCGGTGTAAGTAAATGAATAATTAAACGGATAAGTATCGCATAATTTGTCATTTTTTATATCGATCGTCGTTTCGCTCTCTTTGCAGACTACAGGAAACATTCTCAACTTTTGCGAGGTTGGACTGAAAATTTCGGGCGTTTCACCAATCACGGGCCAGGCTATCTTGCATTTTCCTGATACGTTCATCTCTTCGATAACCATCGCCAATACCGAAAGCCACACTGTAGCATTTTTCGGAACGAATGATGGCATTCTCAAGAAGGTTTTATTATCTGGAACTGAAGCATTCGTCTACGAAAGTGTTACGATCGACAAGGGACAAAAGCTATTGCCAGATACACTGATTTCACCGGATGGCGATTATATCTACGTATTGTCCACTTCGAAGATATCAAAGGTCAAAGTGGAGCATTGTAGTGGTTATACTAATTGTAGCAGTTGCCTTGATGCAAAAGATCCTTACTGTGGCTGGTGCTCTTTGGAAAAGAGGTAAATGGATTAAACTTGTATACAAAACTATAATGTTATTACATATCTTATTTCTCGAAGTAATATTTCAATTGTAAAAAAAAAAATATATACATATATATATATATATATATATATATATAGAATTGTATCATTAAAAATAAGCTATATTTACTCATAATAATTTCTCGTTGACTATCGTTATAGGTGTACGGTGAGAGGAGATTGTCAGAAAGCAAGTCATAGTAGTCCACGATGGTTGTCCTTGGGTACAGGTCAACAATGCATCGATTTTGAGCAAGTGCTACCCGATCGTATGCCTATTAATCAGATGACCACGGTGCAATTAACAATCAGAACTTTGCCGGAATTACCAGCGGGCGCTAATTACAAGTGCGTTTTTGGTAACGCCGAGCCAATAGACGCGCTGATGACTGGTTTCGGATTGTCTTGCCCAACGCCACCCGTTGGGGAGAGACCCAGTATTCCCGAGGGCGCCGATCATGCGCTTGTGCCGTTGTCTGTGCGATCGAGCGAGACGAACAAAGATTTCGTCTCGCGTAACTTTGCGTTTTTCGATTGTTCGAGACATACCGTGTGCACCGAATGCGTAAAGTCCCAATGGGCGTGCAGCTGGTGCGTCTATGACAACAAATGCACTCATAATACTAGTTGTCAAGGCATTATATCGGGAGAAAATGTAAGTTTCTTTTAATTTTGTTATACCTATACATCTTGCATAAATTTATCTATTATAGAATATATATCTTTCTCTTTTTTTCAGCAAAACCAGATCAACCTTGCTCCGCAAGGCGCACGGCACTGTCCGAGATTCGTAGAACGCAAGGAGCCATTGATGCTGCCGAACAGTGTGCCGAAGGAGATAGTGCTCGAGGTAGAAAACCTGCCTCATCCGCAGGTAGGCCATAGCGGATTCCAATGTATCGTCAGTATCGAGGGCGCCAATCTGAAGGTACAAGCTCGTGTGGACAGTAGTCGTCTCATCGTGTGCGACAAGACGGTATACTCATACGAAGCGGTCACTGGTGAATACGAGGCCGAGGTGACAGTTGTCTGGAACACAAATCACCACGTAGACAAGACCACGATAATTTTGTACAAGTGCGAGGTGCTCGGTTCGCATCGTGAACACGCGGACTGTTCCCTGTGCGTGACGCGGGACGCTCGATTCGAATGCACTTGGTGCGGAAACAGCTGCGTGTATCGACACTCGTGTCTACAGTCGCCGTTTACCGAGTGTCCAAAACCTCGGATAGATATGATCAAGCCATTGAGCGGTCCGGTGGAGGGCGGCACGCTAGTGACCATAGAGGGCAGCAATCTTGGGTTGAAGGAGAGCGACGTGGAGGGTAAGATACACATCGGTAACACTCCGTGTACACTGGTAGATTATGAAGTGTCGGTGCGTATCGTCTGTCGCACCGGTCGGCACGAGGCTACAGACGCGGCATCCGTTGTGGTTGGGAACGACGCCGGTTACACGGAGAGCGCAGTGTTATTCAATTATAAGGACATACGCCTGACAGGCGTGTATCCATCAGTTGGACCGCAGAGCGGCGGCACGCAGTTGGCTATCACCGGTAAGTATCTAAATATTGGCAGCGCGATATCGGCATATCTCGATGAGCTGCCATGTCAGGTAAACGCGACCCAAGCGAGCAGCACGAGGCTGACTTGTGTGACAAGCAAATCGGGCCGCGTCAGGCGGATTCACAGACTAACGTTGAATATCGATGGTGCGAATCGCACCCTCGTGGACAATCCATATAATTACACTCACGATCCGACTATTATGGAAATTAAACCCCTGAGGAGCTTTGCCTCGGGCGGCCGTATGATCACCGTGCATGGGACGAATTTGGACACTATTCAGAAACCCGAGATGGAAGTATACTTTGACAACGAGCCGTTGCCGGTGAATAGAACCGTTTGCACCGTCCTGAATCCCACGCAAATGGAGTGTCCGAGTCCGAGCGTCACCAGGAGATTTACATCGATCCGACGTAACGAACGTTCGGCGGTCGCCAATGCCCAAGGCACTTCGTCGCCGCAATCATTAAGACTGAAGGAGTCCCAGCTGTCTCTCAAGATCGCCTTCATCATGGATAACGTGGAAAGTGTGAGAGACTTGGAGAAGCACTTTCAGAGTCTCCGTAATCGGTTGTTCTACGTCGAGGATCCGAAATTTTTCCCATTTCCACGGAACGTTAAACTATATAAGGGTGACACACTAGTGATTGAGGGCGAGAATCTCAACTATGCCAGCGACGAATCCGATGTGAATGTCACTGTAGGCATTATGCCGTGTAACGTGACGTCGCTCGCTCTCACACAACTGGTTTGCACGCCACCGGATCAACAGCCCGCCGACACGGACGAGCACGGCATCAAGACTGACAGCGGATTGCCATTGGTAGTAGTACGAGTAGGTCGCAGTTTACGTTTTCCCATCGGTTATCTGCGCTACGAGGTCATTAAGTCATATCCGATACCCCCGGAAGCGATCGCCGGCATCGCCGCTGGCACGTTTGGTCTCATCTTTCTATTTGTACTGGTATTGGTCATCTATCGCCGTAAAAGTACTCAAGCGGAGCGCGAGTATAAGCGCATACAGATACAAATGGACACGCTCGAGAGCAATGTCCGGATGGAGTGCAAGCAAGCATTCGCAGAACTGCAAACGGACATGACAGACTTGACTGCAGATCTCGAATCGTCAGGCATACCCACTCTCGACCATAAAAATTACATCATGAAAGTGTTCTTCCCTGGAGTGATAGATCATCCCATATTGAACGATCCGCGATCGCGTAGCAACGTCTCACGTACCAACTATGACGCGGCGATGATACAATTTGAGCAACTCGTCAACAATAAATACTTTGTGCTGACATTTATAGAGACCTTGGAAGCGCAGAAAGACTTTAATATCAGAGACAAAGTAAACGTCGCCTCCTTGCTCATGGTAGTCCTAATGGGAAAGATGGAATACGCCACGGATATCCTGATGAATCTATTATTGAGATTGATTGACAAAGCGGTGAACACGAAGCATCCGCAGCTTATGTTAAGGCGAACGGAATCTGTGGTAGAGAAGATGCTAACAAATTGGATGGCGCTTTGCATGTATAACTACCTGAAGGACTACGCCGGCTCATCCTTATTTTTGCTCTTTAAAGCGATCAAACATCAGATCGAGAAAGGACCGGTGGATGTAATTACACACGATGCAAGATATTCTCTCTCGGAGGAGAGACTCTTGCGTGAGCAGATCGAGCACACGATCGTCACGTTGCACGTGGTGCAGGACGATCTAGATGAAAAGATACAGTGCAAGGTTTTGGATTGCGATACTATAAGCCAAGTAAAGTCCAAGATCCTTGACGCGCTATATAAGAATACTCCGTTTTCGCTGAGGCCGTCCGTACATGACGTTGATCTAGAGTGGCGGCACGGTCGTGGTGGTCATTTGACCCTCCAAGACGAAGATCTCACGACCAAGGGCTGCGGCGAGTGGAAGAAGATAAATACATTGGCACATTACGGTGTCAAAGAGTCGGCGGTGATGTCGCTGATCCCTCGGCAGAACGACGGTTTCTTAGTGGCGTGCAAACCGCCCTGCCAAAATTGCAAGCCCTCGCACTATCATCCACAACAGCAGCCGTCGAATCATCCGCATCATCCACCGTCGCATCATCTACATCGACATTCGAATCACTGTTCGTCCACGCATCTTCCATCCACACCCAATCACGGGTTGATCAGTCCCGTGATGTACAATCATCCCGTGAGCGGCCTATACTTTGACTCTCAGCACTCACCGCCCATCATAACGGCGAACGGTGATGTTGAGAGCGGCCATGGCGGTAATCAGCGGCTGTACCATCTGGTCAGGCCTATCGAGGACGTGCATTATCCTCCCGGTTTAGGCTTCAACAGTAGCAGCAAGCATCACCATCCCGAGAGAACGCACAAGGCGATTCCGGAGATATTCCTTACGCGATTGCTCTCGACCAAGGGCACTGTACAAAAATTCGTCGATGATTTTCTAAACACTATACTGACCGCCAACGAGGCGCTGCCAAGCGCGGTCAAGTGGTTGTTCGATCTTCTCGACGAGGCGGCCAAGCAGCACGGTATTATCGATCCAGAAGTGCCGCACGCGTGGAAGTCGAACAGCCTGCCGCTCCGATTCTGGGTAAATTTCATTAAGAATCCGGACTTTATGTTCGACATCAACAAATCCACGACAGTGGACTCGAGTCTCTCCGTGATCGCGCAAACGTTCATGGACTCGTGCTCGATGACGGAACACAGACTGGGCAAGGACTCGCCGTCTAACAAGCTGCTCTTCGCCAAGGACATACCACACTATCGCGAGAAAGTGGGTCGATTTTACACGGATGTGCAGAGACTGCCGCAGATCACCGACCAGGAGATGTCTAGTGCCATGCAGCAATTGAGCGCGTCTCACGCCAACGAGTTCGATGTGATCGCGGCGCTAAAAGAGCTCTACATTTATGTCAGCAAGTATTATGAACAAGTAAGTTATTTGATCCGACTTTCTCGTTAATTTCGACATTCAGAGGCTAGCGACAAAGTTCGCTATACTATTGTGAAATTCTTTTCAGATCCTAGAGGCCTTGGAGACAGATACGGGCTGTCGCAAACTACACCTAGCTCATAGACTAGAAAATGTAGCGTACACGCTCGAGGGAGAAGAGACCAGTGCCTGCTGACATACCCTCCTCACTTCCATCCCAGGACCCGTCAACCTCTCCAGAAACACTGACTAGTGCCTCCACTTCATGCATCAGATACACCTCGTTACATATGTACAAATATTACACAAATACAACACACCGTGTGAATAACAATGCCGTAAAAAGAGATACACGCGATTTCGTTAGGGCTAGTCAGGCGATAGGTCACGGGATTATAGACACAGTCCTCGTGGTAGTATTTTACCGTCTTTACGTGTTGGCCATACCGAAATACGCTTGTAAACATGTATGGATATTAGTACGGCAATATGTACGCGCCTCTGATCCTTCAATTACGACGCTGGACAGATGCCTATTGTGAATCTCTCTAGAAATCGAATAAGGTAGTATTTATATATTAATCTCTCATCGAATTCGAATCTCAATTCGTAGAATTTGCGAACGATTGTTGTTATCGTAGTGAGAGATAATTTAGTTCTAAGTAATTAAATTATTTTTATCGTCTACTTTATTTTTCATGATGTTGTTACGTTTACAACATCAGTCTCGGCGTTTTTCTCCTGTCGGGACTCTTTTGAGGATCTGAGACGTGGATCGGTGCAAATACTTTTAGGGAAGAAATTTAAAGTGTAAATTTTACGGTCGATCTGATATCTATACGTGTGTACGCAAATACGGAACACATAAAGTAAAAGTAACATGTCTAATGGTAAGTGAGAGAAAGCCATAGTGTCCACCAGACTGTCTGTACGGGAGCAACGTACGGCAGCGAGTAGTCTGTGATCCGAGCACGAGTGGCTATGCCTATTATATCTTCATTATGATATATATAATTATTAATATGTTATATATATACACATGAAAAAAATATATATAAAGCAAAGAATCATGCGCGACACACCTCCATGGATTGTAGTGAGCTAGTTAGAGAGGGACTATATGTATTATAAATTAAGGGTTACGCACCCTTATAATTCACAGAGACAGAGTAACAGATAATATTAAATTAAGGCGATTAAAGTAATGCGCGTTAAAAAAAAAATTAAAGTTAAAAATTATATAAGAGCAGCTCAGTCTACTCTAGGCCTATCCACGTATATCGTATATACGTTAAACAAATCTTTTTCTCTTAATTTTATCTCTTTTGCTTCTATCTCTTTCTCTGTATGCCATACACAAATACTGTACTGTACATGGTAAAGTGCTATCATGTTTTAGAAAGATCATTTTGTGAAGCATTTTTCTAATAACTTTATCTCTTCTTTGTACGTATTATTATATTATTATATGTTATTATTATTATTATTATTATTATTATTATTATCATCGGTTATTTTATATTATTATTTCTTTATTATTGTCCATATATATACATATAAATATTAATGCTGCCCATTAATTATTACTATATTGTTAGAAATAACGAATGACAGATGCAAAACGAAACAGATCTTTTTTAGATTACCGACGCAAAAATATTATAAACTGTTTTGATCATGTTATAGAGAAAGAATTTTGTATTTGGCCGAGATTTATGTGCTATTATTGTAATAATAGTCGTATGTATCGCAGACACTCGTCGTGGCACAACGACACACACACACAAACACACATACACAGTATTTTTTGAACAATCGTAACTTGCTTATTTTTAATTAATATATAAGACTGGTAGAATTTTTTTAATACGTTTTTTTTTTTCCTTTTCCTTTTTTTACGAATCTCTCGATATTGCGTAACATCAGTGGACAATTATTATATTTGTCACGCACACACTGCCAAGTTTTTCCACAAACTGTCGATCCGTTCAGCCAATATAAGCTCGTCGTTCAATCGAGGCGCAACAAACCTTGATCGACGAGTCATCGACGTAGGTTCAGGGAGGCTGGGGACGTGCTCATACTCTTGTACTTAATAATGCCGTCGTGTAATTTCAATTATATACTCTAGGTCCCCAGGCTCCCCGTCATTCGCGATCATCAGCAACCTATGTATCTCTCTATTAATATGTATATTGTATTTATTTATATTACACGAGGAATAAATTGTAACTCGATCGCGTATGTACGTCAATCTGTAAGTTTTTAAATTTTATTACGTATCTCTTTGTATCGAATTGTATGAATATTATATGTCTGTGTATGTCTGTTCGCTTTTTTATGCAAGTATATGTGTCTCTCGGTATGCGTGCCATCTGTTTCGACGCGGTAAGGAATTTGTTCGCTCGAGATTTTTTTTTTTCTTAAAAATAGAACGCGATATAGTTTAATTATCTATTCTTAGAGAATTATGGTAGATCTTGTGTACGTGCAATGTTATTAATTAAATTTATTTAAATTCAATTTAAAGAAAGAATGACGCTTTGCTCTCTTACTATGAGATTCACGCGAAGCGAACATATTTAATACCGCTTGATACAGTCTTCCCCGGATGAGATCGAACGGAGATTTGATTTGAACTGAATTTTCATATTAATTATCGTGCAACGTTTCGTATGTATTTTTTACATATGTAGTTTAACGTTTGTAGAGATGCCATGTTTTCGTCCGCGAACTCGAGATATTCAAAACCAATTACAGATACATAATACCTACTTATATATATATATACATTTTATTCACAAAGAGATTATATTTCCATTGAAATTTAGTATATGCAAATTGGAACGTTCATACAATTAAGCTAACCGGAATTTCGAACCGGTATCGAAATCCGTGCAAACACAGGATAACGAAAGTACATTTATATAAGTATATGATTAAAAATTGTACGGATGGGATAATGTGTAACGGGTTTACACTTTGCTCGTCCCTGCGTTGAAAGTATCGTAATTCTCTCTTTTCGGTTTCTACCAGTACACTCTAACAATGTAAGCCGACATTCTTATTTGATAAAAACTTGTAATTAAGAATTATATACATATATGTATAAACTGAGAGAAGAGCGCGTTAACTCAAAATATAGCAGCTGCAATATGTCATCAGTGATAGCGAGTATATTACAAATGACTTAATCGACATGTAAGCACTGCCGTTAACGTTGTTTTGGAGGAAATGCACAACGATAGAAAAAAATTGCCGTCGCTACACGCCCTACAAACGTCCTCCGTTCCCTTAACGCGAGGGAAGGAATAGAGAATATGTATTTATATATATATATTGCACCTTTTGATTTTTCCTTTATCACTGCCGTGATTTTGCATTTAAGAAACAAGACTTTCACCGAGCCACTGTATTACTGTGTTGTAATAGTGTGTTCTGCAACGCGAGTAAACTCTTTGTACGTTCCCTCATAAAGGAGAACCAAAAAACGGCTGACTTAAAGCTGTACGCAAGAATATTTAACTTTATCCCGTATTCTAATCGCGCAGGTGTATCGTTAAATGCGTTTACCCGAGAGCTTATCAGTATGTTGATATCTGGTGCAATTTATTTAATTATGCGCGGTGAGAATACGGGTGTTTTTTTTTTCTTTTTTTTTTTTCCTTTGCGTTTGAAGAATATTATGCCGTGCAGATTGACGTACATGGGAACACACACGTGCGCACATATTCGTATATACAAATGTACACATACATCACACGTCGTTATTATCGGGTGCCAGTGGGCCTCCAGACAAGCGCAAGATGTTTTTCTTTTCCATAAAATTCAGTTGGAAGATACTCGTGCGATATGTAAATTATATCGAGCAACGTTCGAGTTTGATCCAATAGAATCCATATATTAGCGTCTCGCTATACTTTACGAACGTACAAGTGCTTGCGACTCTGCCGCGTTAAATCGGAGAGAAAAATAGATTTAAAAAGATATTTCGTATTCATTTTTCCCTGTTCTCGTATTACACAATTTTTATATATATATGTATATGTTAGAAGCGCGAATAAGGTAGAAATAAATGAATAAAATGTGCGTGTACACCGCTATGTCGAGAGAAGTGATATATGATAAAATATCGAGAGACGCTATTTCTGTAAACGTCCGCTGAATTTTTTATCGAGATAACGATTAAAGAGACCGCGCGTGAGTATTTAAAATGTTTACAATATCCGGAATATACGCAGCAGAGTTTTCCGAGCAAATTGTACAGTCGAAAGTCGACTCCATCCAATCTGAAAAGCTTGTCAATTCTGCATTCAACGTATGTGATTATAACGCAACGGACTGAGAGAGAGGTGATTCTCGCGAGGCGATTAGTGTGTCATGCTTCGTAGTTTATAGAGATAAATCTCAACATCGTGTCTCGAGTTAAGATTACTTCTTGTTAAGCTTCGAGAAGAGAAAATGGGGGAGGGGGAGAGGGAATGATCCCGATAATTTTCCTAGTTTAAAAATATTTCTCTTGTATATTTTCGATCGTCGCTACTTCCGGAGGTACGATTTAATGGACTTTTTATCCGGCAATCATTGCGAGCAATATATAATTGCTGAGAGCAATAATTGAGCTACCAATGCCGTCTTGGTTTCGTTAGCGTTTTCGGAAATATATCTTCCTGGTAGCATACTTTGTGAAGAATCATGGAAAAAGAAAGTAATATTAATTATATTATACGGTATTATATTGACATTAAACTTGATCGCCATTAAATGTACCTTGGGGGAAAGCGTCTGTCCTCTATTCATTAAGATGCGTGCAATACGCTTATTTCAAGCGTATTATATCGTATCTGTATCCATTTGTGTGTGTGCGTGTATGTATGTGTATGTGCAATTGCAACTCCTCGCGAGTAGCTCTCTTCCCCTCTCCATTGTACATAGTATTTCAGCCCAATTCCTCCCCCCATCCCGCGCACGAGTAGACTTTAAGCGACACTCGAGAAAACGAAATGATTCTTGCCAAATTTTCAATGGGACGTAGGGACAAAACGATTAATTGCATTAAAAAAAAAAAAATCGCAAAAAATATATTGGTATTATAAACGATTCGTATCGTATTATCTCTTCGTTATTTCGCCCACCCGCAATCTCAGCTGTACAGACTTTTAATTATTAGCCTTACGATTAAGACACGATGAACCACCGTGTCGTCTTGATAATCGTTAGCATAAGAAGGGAAAGCCACAAGCGTTCAAGTGGACTCGTTTCTAATTTGAATCGTTACAATTTGTCACAAATTTGCCTGCGGAGATGATGACGATTTTTCCAGCTCCTTTTTTTTTATACAAACAAATACTCAAAATCTCCCTTTAGTTTCGTCGGTAAAGATTTATTGTAATTGAACGGACGCGCGATATACAGCTACATAGCCCGTGTAAAATTATCACAGCTCTCTGTGGTGCGCTAAGATCTAAATATTGTTACTATAAATACACATGGGTTACACGTGAATTTTTCAGGAATACACGCCATTCGAAAGTTGTCGGAGTCGCGTGTGTTACTTAAGTCGTGTTACATTAATTTGAAATTCTTACATTAGTCCGCGACTCTAATCCTCCGCATTCGTGGAGTACACGTGGAATTTACATGTATATCTTGTATACAGTAGAACGTATATATTTGGCGCGCGTCATAGTTTTCCACTGTGCATTTTGACAAGCATTGACAATTCCGGCGTCGATGTTGTATCGCGTAACGCGATACAATTTATAAATCAGCGTATTTGGTACGCGCAGAGTTGATTTCGGTCACGAAATTGTATATGCTATACATATATATAACAGTACAATTAATACGCAATCTTGAGATATGTGAAGTTTGTATAATTTTATCGCTTTCCTTTTATAAATATATCAATAAAAAGGTATTAAAAAATAATCTATTGTATATTTACATTTTAAAACTATCAACGCAGACTTGTATTACAAACGATATTACGTGTGTAATAATTATTAGCTATAGTAATATTATGTCATTATTTTCTACATACTTAATATTTTTGTAATAATAATGCGAAAGCTTATAAAGATAACAAATTTACATGGCACGTTTGTACAATTATTGATAAATTGTATAATATGGAATTGTATTTATAGGCAGTAAGAAATTCAGACACTACACAAAGGCCCAATTGTACTAATATCGATTGAATGTAATTCGAGATTAAACTTCAATATAAATACGCACTAGTGGTGTATCGTCTATTTAAAACTTGTGTCTTTGTCATAAGGGGCCGCGATTCTCACAATCTCTCTTTTTTTCTTATTCTCTCTCGTCATACGAAAATATATTCATAAAAAGTAATAATAAAAATTGTCCTTCCTCTTTCCTTCATAGGTTAATAAGATCAATTATAAAATAATTTCAATAAAAAATGCGAATTATTTTTACAGCATATAATATTTATATATAATTCGTTTTTGTTTATTTAGTGACTTCTTTCATAACTTACGCAATTTACTCTATCCCTGACTTTATCTTGTATAATAATGATTTATCCTGAGAAGACTTAACTGAGGATAATGCAGATGTACCGGATGAAGAGTTCTTTGAACTTGAGGCAGTACCTGTATTTCGTTTGTCTTGTTTGGCTTTCTTCATCATGTCTTTCAATCTTTTATCCGCGCTTATAATATGAATATTTGGTGTCACCTTAGTTCCAGTGCCTGCAAGAATTCATTAATTAAAAAATAAAATAAAGTTTACTTCTACATTTCAAATGCATTACACATGCGTTCATATTTACTTGAGCTCGGTTTCTTTTGTTCTTTGGTTTTGCTTTCTATCACAGTTTTTGGCGAACTTCTGTCTTTCGAAACCTAAAATATAATAATCAATATAGTAGAATAATTACATTGACATCCAGCAAGTAAAATATTAGCCCTTATTTAAATTTCTCTTGTTGTTTAAAATTTGATATTCTCATATAAATTATAAATGCGAGTAAATACACATACCTGAGACTTTGGACAGTTAGAGCAGTACCATACTTGTTTCGGCACATCTATCTGCGAATCCAGAATATGTGGAACATGGCGTTCCTGATGATATAAAGAATGACACTCTTGACACTCCACAAGTCTATTTCTCGCTCCAACATCCATCCCTTTACAAATTACGCATGTCAGATCATCTTCTAGAATTTCCAGTGCCAGAGTATCATCCGTCTGCAGAATGTCCGGTGGTGTGTCGCGTGCTGGCAGATTAACAGGGGAGCTATTCTTGCTCGATTTGCTAGAATGCTTAGACGAGCTGGAGCTTTTGCTTTTCTTACTGCTACTACTACTGTGATCGCTCAATACTGGTTCTTCCATCATGTACTAAGAAACAGATGGAACAAATTACATCAACTATAATTTATATAGGCATATTTTATTAAATGCATTACCTTTTTATGTAGCACATTGGAGAGCATTTTGGATGGCCCGTACTTTTGTTTAATCGCCTCATCTAATAGAGCTCGCAGCTGTTCCGCAGAATCCTTATTAGTGGAGTGCAAAAGGCGTAGCCCCTGTGTAAATTGTGGATCCAATTCCAGTTGAGTCATCTTTCAAAAGTATCCTTTCTATCAATGCAATGTATATTAATTAATCATTGCTATATAAACATTTTATAAATAATTCGCGACAAGACTGAATAAAGACGCCTTGCAACGTAAGTCACAGGTTATATTTTGCAATAATAGCACATGTGTTTCGCGCGTGTGTGTATTGAAGATTTAAATACTCTATCTTATCTCATTAACTTTTTTCATGTATGAGGAGCAAGGTACAAACATATGAGATGTCTCTTTTTGAGTACAAAGAGTGTTATTCGAAAAAAGGTAAAGTCTACGCTCTCTTGTTTTTTTATACCTTGCACTTGCATATATTTATCAATATTTACTCTTTTATAACAGAAAGGAAACTGTGCAATATAATACGTTTGTAGTTTAACTTACAGAACCCGTAAAGTTTTAATTAATGCAAAATATGCATTAATCCATAATATCTATATGGTAGATGTAATATCGACACTTTATTTGTGACTTTATCATCGATCACGTCAATATGCAGCGTTTTTGCTATGAAATATTACTTTATTCTAGGCCTAGGCAATCTAGGTTATCGCGTGAATCTTGAACCGCGTAGATGAGTTTGTATCTTGTAAAGCTAAAGATCAGCTGAATTCGTGAAAATATCTATTGGACATTATATATATTGGATATTATATGACGTTTAATCGGCAGAATAATTAAGAAAAAAAAACTTATTAATCAATTTTCGAATAAAAATTAAATTTCAAAAATTGTATTAAAAGAATGTATATATATATTTTTTTTTATATTTATGAAAATTGTAATTTATACGATAAAAAAACTTTTCGTATTCTCAACTGATTGAAAATGGGCAATATACCGTTCCCATATCATATCGATTTTTTAAAACTGGCATATTTTATGTATTGTGTGTATATATAATAAAAGAATTGATAATAATCTGTGAAATATATTTTGTAATTTTTAAAAATCTAATAAACTGTATTAATAATACAAAACGCAAATGTCTTGTGATTGAAAAACCTATACCCTCATCCATTCCCGCACATCTTGTCGTGTCACGCACACTTTTTTAATTATATATTTGCTTGATATCTTTTGCCAATTTTTCATTTTTGGAATTTCTGAAATTGCGTTTCTTGGAATCAAGTATCAGAAGAATATAATTAGCAAAGAGGTGGCATAAACTAAAATTTTAAAGAGTGCGAAAATTTAAAGCTTCGAAATTCATAAAAATAGTGTAACAGCGAAAGCGATTGCGTCCAATATACGATATATAAACGTAATAAAATGCCTGTGTGCATTATTGTATAATAATGAAAATCACTGCGTGTGCGTGTGTGTGCAAAATTAGTTAATATAGCGAAAGCGATCAATTCAATTTTACTCACGAATGTATAAGCAATTGCGAAAGCGATCATGTCCGATATCCGAAATAATGTATATAAAAATGTAATAAAATTGCTAGTGTGTATTATTTTGTATAGTGATAAAAATGACTGTATGTGTGCGTGTGTACTAAATGTAATATGACAGCGAAAGCGATTGCGTCCGATACCCGATATATGTATACGCGTAAATATACATATAAATATAAGAGAATCGATAATATCTGTCAAACATATTTTGTAATTTTTAAAAATTTAATAAACTGTATTATTAATACAAAACGCATATGTCTTCTGAATGAACCTACCCATTTAATCCCACACATCTTGTTGTGCCACACACATCTCTTTGTTAATTATACAATTCCTTGAAACGTTCTTGTAAATTTTTCATTCTTGGAATTTCTGAAACTGCTTTTCTTAAAATCAAGTATCAGGGAAACATAATTAGCAAAGAGGTGGCACAAACTAAAATTTTAAAAGCGTGAAAATTTGAAGCTTCGAAATCCGCAAAAGTATCAGGAGAACATGATCAGCAATTAAAGCTTCGAAATCCCCACAAGTATCAGAAGAACATGACAAGCAAAGAGTTCACATAAAGTTAAATTACAGAAAGCGAAAAATTTAAAGCTTCGAAATCCCCACAAGTATCAGAAGAACATGACAAGCAAAGAGTTCACATAAAGTTAAATTACAGAAAGCGAAAAATTTAAAGCTTCGAAATCCCCACAAGTATCAGAAGAACATGACAAGCAAAGAGTTCGCATAAAGTTAAATTACAGAAAGCGGAAAATTTGAAGGTTCGAAATTCGCAAAAGTATCAGGAGAACATGATCAGCGAGAAGGTGTTACAAACTAAAATTTTAAAAAATGCGAAAATTTGAAGCTTTGAAATCCGCAAAAGTATTAGGAGAATATAATCAGCAAAGAGGTGGTACAGACTAAAATTTCAAGAAGCGTGAAAATTCAAAACTTCAAAATCCGCAAAAATAGTAGGATTTTTTTTTTTTGTTTTGCGAAGGAAGAGAAAAATGCATTATGCATTCCCACCGGCCGATCCGGTGGGATATGCGGGACTCGCACCCGCTAAAAAACTCTCCCTATGGAGCCAACCTTTTTGGCCTCCTGCCGATACTTATACAAATTTAAATTCTGGAATATTGGGAACATGATAGGCAAGAAAGACAATACAAATAAAAACTTCAAAAATTAAAATTTTAAAAACTCCAACTTTATTTCCTTTTCTCATTTACAGTATAGTGAAAATTACTATCTAAAAATAATTAATTGTTCTTATAACTCATTTCTTAATTTTCACAAATGATCGCATTTTGGAGGCAACTATATTATTTCAAATAAAATTTATTTTTGTAATATTTCGTAATGAGTTGCAAATTATGCTCGGTTTCTGCTGTCAATCTGTCGTCAGATTGCGCGCACGCAGATTCTGCTTTATTTCTGCTATCAATTTGCTATCAGTCTGCAAGATTTTTGGCGATTTGTTGATTTAATCGATAATAACAATTTCTGTATCAAATTTATAACTTTTTTGCTGACAACAGTTGATAGCAGACACTTTTGGCATGATCTGTTTTCGACAGACTTGGCTATCCGGGTATATGTCGTAAATTTTTTACCTTAAAAATTTTTGAAATTTGCACGTTTCTCTTTACAATTCTTTCATAAGCAATAAATAAAAATACGTTTTATATATGCCCTAACTTCTAAAATCCTAACAAATCCCTTCGATTTTGTACCTGACTCAGGTCGACGTCATGTTTAATCCTTTGACCATTGTATTCACGTATCACAATCCTTCCCGCCAAAATTCCTTTCTCTCAAATGTTTTTCAAAGAATAATTCTATTCTTTCAAAATGCAAAGATTCGCAATACAAAAAGATTTAAAAATTTCAGTTATCAGTTGATCGTTTGTGAGAACATTTCCATTTAGCATAAGAGCGTTGTGAATGATTAGTATATAGTTTATATACACATCAATTCCTCTAATAATAAAGTACAGTGCACATTGTTTATTTAATTTTCTGAATATTATGTAGCGCGTATAACAACGCATGTGTTTCCGATTGATAAACGCGAATTTATTTACGCAAATAAATTTCTGCGTTTTCTTCACGATTCGAATTTCAAAAATACCGCCGCTAACCGGACGACACCTACGGCTCTGTCGTGTTCGCCAGGAACTCGGAGAATGTAGGCGCATCAAGTTCGATTCCCTCTGTACGCATCCGAAATTAAATTTTGCGAAGTGAATTCGAGTGCGAGATACAAGATCCAAAAGTTTCTCGGAGGGGCTACCTCTCCGAGATCTTTTCAAATTCCGCAGCGTCCACGAATTCATATCGTCCGTCGACGAAGGCGACGCGGACGAGGAGATATCTCGAACGCCGCCGCCGATCGAGAGAGGAAGACGAAGAAGGCGAAAATATAACCAAAGAGAGACGAAAATAGTTACCCTGCGGGCGACGACGACGACGACGACGACGACGATGACGACGAGAGGCGGCGAGCGTGGATTTCTCTCGCGCGACTGACGGCGCATGCGCGCGCCAAGCGCCAAGGCTATCACGCGCGCCGTCTCACTCCCGCCGAATGTCGGGCGCATCGTCCCGTCTCCGTCTGACGGACGGAGCGGCGCGGCGGCGCGCGTCAAGCGACGTTGATCCGAAAACTTTCAACCCAACAGTTGGCAGCGTTGCGTAGAAAAGAAATAAATAATCAAAGCGACCATGAAGTGACAAATAAAGTCGAGGTAGAGAGAACAATGCTCGCGCGTACGACGGCAAGGTGGATACTCGAGTCGTACAGTTGCAGCGCGCGTTCGCATCGCCGTTGATACGGATCGCCCGCGTCTCGCGTTCGTGTGCGTCCTCGCGGCGTCAACGCGCCGCTCACCGCCGACCGCCGCTGCTCCGCCACCCGCAGGCCGCAGCAGCAGCAGCCGCGCGCGACACAGCAGCCGGAGAGCGGAGAGGCGCGCTATGCGCTATGCGATCACCGTGGAGGCGAGGGTGATACACACGGGATACTCGTTTCTGCTCACGGCGCGACGTGACTTACCGCATCGCGCTTCTCGGTGCTGCTTCCAGCGCCGGTTCCCAAGCGGTATCTGGTTGGCGAACCCGGCCGAATCCGGCCCCGTATCCAGGTGGTGTGGTAGCTTCGCAGCATCCCCCAAGTCACGGTGAGGATAAATAACGGCGAGATAGACTGCAGCATCCCCCCCCACCGTCGCTCGTGACGATTCACGAGCATAGCGATGTTTAAAGCCTCGGGAGAGCTTGTTGGTGTCGTCTGGTGAACGCTCCCAGACTTCCGATTCACATCCGTGCATTCGGTCGACGTTAACCTCTCAATCTCCGCCGCACGCAGCCAGCGCGTCGCGGACGCGGACCTAGTGTCACCTAGTGCTAGTGGCCATGCCTCTTCTTTTCCCACTGTTCACCAACAGTAGCAGCAACAACGAGGTTTGACACGCTCGGTCGTTCGCGCACGCGATACGCTCCAACCATGAAAACGGAAAAGAAGCCCAACGAGCCCAGCTGTTGTCCACCTACCACGGTTGTCAAGGATGAGCCTGACGCCGATCCTGTTAAGCTTAAGGACGAGGGTACAGGTAGTAATAACGACGATACGACTGGAGAGGATACAGCGGAGTGTTCAAGAGATCCCTGTATCGATACATCTAACGGCGAAGGTACAATGTCTGTGGAGAATCAGAATACCAATGGGAATCAATCGATCCTGACTTCGGTTAAACAAGAGGGAGACCCTAACAATCCCACCGATGAGCTACCTGGTAACATCAATTTATTTCTATTATTTTATAATCTATGAATTTTATTTACACTTTATTTATTGCGCTAACGTATATCTTATGTTAGACTAATCAAATTATTCTTTTTTTTGGCTATAGATTATAATAGATATATTATTACAGCAGACAGCATTCAACCGCTTGTTAGTAATGTTGTGGGAAAACAGATGGGAACTAGTGCAAGCAGTGGCGAGGCTCAATACATGCAACAGCAGAGCCAAGTTTTTGTATTTTCTACGCAGTTAGCGAATACAGGCGCAGATGCAGTATTGAGAGGCGAATATCATTCGCTCGTTGCTTATCATTGCGCACAGCCA